ATTTCTCCCCCTGCCTTCTTTTTTCAAGTCAGGGTTTCTCTATAGCTTTGGAGCCTTTCCTGGAAGCTAGCTCTTAAATATTTATTTATTTATTTATTTTTTCATTCATTCGTTCATTCATTCATTTATTATGTATACAGTATTCTGTCTGTGTGTATGCCTGCAGGCCAGAAGAGGGCAACAAACATTACAGATGGTTGTGAGCCACCATATGGTTGCTGGGAATTGAACTCAGGACCTTTGGAAGAGCAGGCAATGCTCTTAACCACTGAGCCATCTCGCCAGCCCCTGGAAGCTAGCTCTTATAGACCAGGCTGGCCTCAAACTCACAGAGATCCGCCTGCCTCTGCCTCCGCAGTGCTGGGACTGAAAGTATGTGCCACCACAACACCATTTGGGTTTCCTTCTCTCTGACCACAGCTTCAAGGGCTCAGTGGTCACTAGGATCCATGCATGGGCCACAGCAGAATGGGAGGAGTTGGGAACACCATGGCGGCAGGTGGGGGGAGGGGCTGCTTCATCTCATGGTGCGCAGGATGGGAAGCAGAAACCAGGTATCCCCTTCAAAATCAAACCCCAGTGGCCCACTTCCTTCCACCTAGGACCACTAACCTCCTAGAATAGTGAGATCAACTTGGACATAGGAGCCATCGGAGGACATTTTATATTCCAACAGTGAAGGCACATAGATCCCTGGTCTGTTGAGCTCGCAGGTCTGAGTGGACTATATAATCAAATTTAGGGCTAAGAATAAACTTCTATTTTGTTCAAAGCAAAATAATAAAGACAGTAAAAAGAATCAAGGTGCTGGGTAGTTGGGGTGCAGTCCTAGCACAGTACTGGGTGCTGGGATCAGCAACTGACATTTCTAAGCCTTGTGTGTCTCAGCCTCAGGTAAAGCCCTATCCTGCCACTGTAATCAAATCTGTCCGCCTCACTTGCCTGCCTTGTCCCAGCAGCATCCTACCTGGTCCTTCATCCTCTACTCCTGGCCCCCAAACTCCTGACCCAGCACCGGAGTGGCTTTTCTACACCCTGATCAAATCACACAGGCCTCTGTTCTGAAACTGGAGCGGGCTTTTTCTTTGGGCTGCCAGCTCACAGAAAACCACATGGAGACTTACTATTATAAAATTAAGCTCTTATAACTTAAATTAACCCATTTCTATTCATCTATGCGTTGCCATGTGCCTTGTGGCTTTTACCTCTCCTCCTGCATGTCTTGTTTTCACTATGTCTGCTGGTGACTTCACCTTTCCTTCTTCCCAGAGTGCTCTGTCCCCAGAAGTCCCACTAAACTCTCCCTGTCTAGCTGTTGGCCATTCAGCTCTTTTTTAACCAGCCACAGTGACATGTGTCCACACCATGTAAAGGAACAGTCCACAACAGGAACTTGTCACGCTTTCTGTGTTTAGAATAAAATTCCCAAACCTGGTCCCCATAGTCTCTGAGCCCCTGCTGAAAGTGGCGTCCATCATTTCGAGTCCTCTCTGTGCCCCCTCCTCTCTTCTCCACACTCCCTGTCCTCCGTTCCTCTGTCACATTCCCGTCTTTAGGCTTGCCGTTCCCTTCCCTTGCTGCTCCCCGTTTACTTTACTTATTTTTTCTGTTGCTAGGATAAAACACTGATCAAGGACAACTTCCAGGCCACACTCCATCACTGAGCAAACTCAGGGGACACGGAGGCAGGAACTGATCTAGGACCATGGGGGACGCTGCCTGCTGCCTTGCTCTCCATGGCTTGCTTGCCCTGTTTTCTTAAACAGCCCAGGATCACCTGCCCAGGGGTGGTACCACACACACAGTAGACTGGAGCCCCCGCTCCGCCGACATCATTCATTAATCAACAAAATTTCCCCATAGGCCAATCTGATGGAGGCTCTCTTAGAGACATCAGGGCCAAAGCAATTCTGATAAAAGGAAGCATTTAACTGGGGGGCCTGCTTACAGCTTCAGATGTTAGTTCATTATCTTCCATGAGGGGAGCACGGGGGCACACGGGCAGACGTGGTGCTGGAGAAGTAGCTGAGCTACAATGGGCCTGGGTGTTTGAAACCTCATAGTCCTTCCCAGGTGATACTTCCTCCAACAAGGCCACACCTCCTAATCCTCCTAATTCTTTCAAAGAGTTCAACTCCCTGGTGACTAAACTTTTAAATATAGAGCCAGTGGGGGTCACAGTTATTCAAATGACCTCAGAGGCAATTCCACAGTTAAGGTTCCCTCTTCCTCCAGGATTCTAGCTTGTGTCACATTGACAAGAAGCAAACCATCCTTACTGTTCCCTCTCTGTGCCGTTCCCTCCTTTCCCTTACCATTCCCCTGACAAGTGACTCATAGCTCACTCCCTCACCTTCATCCTCCTGTCAGGGACATCTCCCTTAACCCTGCCCACGCGACCCTAGGACAGCAGTCCCACACCCATTTTATTTTCCTCCCAAACACATCACTCCCCCTGCTCTATGAAACAGTGGTCTCTCTGCCTCCTTGGAATCAACAAACTGTGTGCTGAAAATGTTTAAAATTTTCATCTGGGACTAGGGAGATGGGTAAAGCACTTGCTTCAAAATCGTGAAGATCCGAGTTCAAATCTCCACAAACCCTTAAAAACGCAGGCATGGCGGCGTGCATCTCAATTCAGTGCTCCTCCAGCGGAAGGAGAGAGCTGTTGTCTGATGTTGTCCTCTGCCCTCTACCCACACCACATGCTGTGGCTGCACGGGATGTGGAATATGTGTCATCCTTGTCCTTCTGAAGGGAGCTACAGACTCAGACCTATGTCTGTTCACTAATGTAGCCCTGGCTCCCAGAACGGTGTCCAAGACATGGTAATCTCTGATGAATATGGTCAGGCATTTGCTTAATGGCAGGTTACATTCTGCGAGAAGCTTTGCTTAGCAATCTGGTTGTTTCGACAACATTACAGACTATACTTGCACGCACTAAGGGTATCATCATCCATGGGACCACCGGAGTTCATTCTGGAATAAAGCTCGCCGCTCTTGACTGTATTTGCTGAGTGTTTTAGTCTCCTGTGTCTGCGGTGAAATCATGACACACTGTATGACTTAAAACCGCCCAGGTCTCATCTCTCAGTGCTGTGGTTTGAGTGTGAAATGGCCACACAGGATAAGGTTTGATTGCTTGGTCTCCAGCCGTCTGTGCTGTCTGTGGAAGCCCTGGGACCTTGGCACGGGAGACATGACTGCAAGAAGCCAGTCACAGGGTGGGGGTGAGGGTGCCTCTGAGGGTTATGCTCTGTCCGCACTCCACCAGAGCTCTCTGCTTCCTGATCCACCTGGATGTGAACAAGTCTATTCCCATCCCCCATGCCTTCCCTACCATGCTAGACTGTGCCGCAGACAGACTCTAAGCCACAAGCCAAAATAAGATCTTCCTTCCTGTACTGGTTACTGTTCTGCGGCTGTGACAAATAAGATCTTCCTTCCTGTACTGGTTACTGTTCTGCGGCTGTGACAAAGACAACTTATGGAAGGAAGGGTTTATTAGGAATTGTGGCCCCTGAGGGATAAGAGTCCATCACCAGCACAGCAGAGAGGCGTGGAAGGAGGCAGGTGTGGAGGGCACCGAGTGCTCACAGATTAAGCCCTGGAGAAACCAGGAATGTTAGTCATGCAGAATTGTCCTCTCGATGGAGACAACCTGTTTTCCACCCAGAAACCTAGGAGTAGGTGACATTAAGACTTGGTGACCTTTGCTATCTATTGAGTCAGGCCCCACCCAGATCCCCCAGAATGTTTATCCCAGACTCTCCCTCCCTAGACCTTTATCTTTGGCCTTGTTTCTCAGGCAATAGAACCGATCCTTAGGTGAGACGTCACCTGTACTGACCTTTACACTTTCTCCAGAGCCCAGCCCTTGAGCTATAAAACCCATCTTCATGGTAGAGGTCACTTTTGCAAGAGAGTTTCAATGTAGTCACGCCTTGAGCTTTATCATGCACATGGGATTGGGATAGTTGTTACTAGGAAACTCTTTTCCAAAACTCTACTGAACTTAAATGTGTCTGAAATAAACTGGCTGGTGTCAAACTCCTGAAATTGGAAGCCGCACCCAGCTAACTAAATCATCCTGAACCGGCTTGGCTTTCCTTCTCACTGTGTGGATGGAGTAGATGTTTCCCTCCCACTGTGACGCTTACAGGGACCTCACAGGCAGTGACGGCAGCAGGGACAGCTGGAGGGCTCATGTCTCAAACCAAGAGGCAGAGAGAGAGAGAGAGCATTGGAAATGGAACAAAGCTTTTGAAACCTCAGAGTCTACTCCCAGTGACATACTTCCCCCAGCAAGGCCACACACCTCCTAAACCTACCCCAAAACTGTCACCAATTGGGGACCAAGTATTTTGATGCCCGAGAATATGGAGGGCATCACACTCTCCACGGTCCCTTAAGTGGCTTGTTGTGCATCCTGTCACAGCAACAAGGACACAATGAATGTCTGTACTTCCAGTTCTGTGGAACAGAATTTGGAAATCGAGGTGTCAGTAGGGCTGGGCTCAATTCCAAGAAGAGCATCCTTCCTGTCTCTTCTACCTCCTGATGCTCCAGGCACTCCAGATTTGTGGCTGTAAAACTCCAGCCCCTGCCTATGCCCACACATGGACCTCTCCTCTGAGACTCTGTCTCCTTTCCTGTTTCTTTTCTTTTCTTTCAAGACAGGGTTTCTCTGCAGCCCTGGCTGTCCTGGAACTCACTCTCCAGGTCTCTTAGACCAGGCTGTCCTCAAACTCACAGAAATCCATCTACTTCTGTCTCCTGGGGGCTTGTGATTAAAGATGTGCACCACCACCACCACCCTGCTCCTTTTCCTGCTTCTTAAAAGGACTCAGATTTTTATTTTGTGTCTACATGGGTAATCCCCTAGACTTCATCAAGAGATGATTAAGAGTTTTTAATTCAAAAATCTTTAATTACATCTGCAAAAATTATATTCTTTTTCCAAATAAGGTAATACTCAGGGGTGGGCATTTTTTTTTTTTTTAGGAATATGGGGGCCAGTCAACTTGTCTGCATTTATAATCACCAAAGAGATGTAACTCTAGGTCCGTCTGTGAGGGCGTTTCTAGAGCGGTTCAGCGAAGAGGGAAGACCTGCCCTGAATGTAGGCAGCACCATCTTGTGGGCTGGTGTCCTAGACTGCAGAAGAAACAAACAAACAAACGTGGGGAAGGAAGCCAACCCAGAGCCAGCAATCACCTCTGTCTGCTACCCAATCCACCCGCACGAGGACAAGCAGCCTCCTGCCATCACTGTGCCTTCCTATCGTGAGCCCCCAACCAACCAACTCTTCCTTCTTTAAGTTGCTTTTGGGGGGTATCTGGTCACAATGAGGAGAGTATGGAATGCATCGGCCACCTGTACTCAGCCAGCTGTGCTGAGTGATGCTGGGTTCCTGCCGCCATTCTTGGCCCCTGTTTCTTCAGAGCATTTCTGGAGCTGGAAGCTCAGAGCTTGGAGCTCGGAGCATCCGCAGTTGGTGTGGACCACATACTACTTCATCCATTGCTTCCTTCACTGCACACATCTTCCACACCACCGTGGGTTCTCAAGTGTGCCGGGCAGCAGGGAACTTGAAAGAAAACGAGGCATCCTGAGGTTACAGAATAGAAAGGTCCACTCCAGAAAAGAACCCATTCCTTAGACTCCAGATAATTTTTCCATTAGAAAAGTCTCCGTTAGAGTTGGTCCTGAAGGTGTAGGTGTGAGAGAACCCACCCTGAGGACGTGAAAGCGGGAGCAATGGCCCCACCCCTCGATCATCCCTGCAAGGGGTGAACTAGCCAGAGTGATGCAGGAGAACTCAGCCTGGTGGGACAGGGAGAGCTGGCAGGCTGACCACCCCTGCAGCTACCCAGGCCCAGAACTAAGGCTGTGTGTTGACCCACCCCAACATCCACCCCATCTGTACTCCTGGAGCATGAGGTGGGAGTCGGGTGGGGCAGTCCTGTGGACCCCGGGCTGCAGGATCCCTGCCACACAGGGCAGCAGGGGGATGTCCAGGAAGAGTCCCAGGGAGGGCCCAGCGATCGATGCTGTAGCAGAGACCAGGAACCTCGAGTCAGACCAGTTATTCTTTGCGATGAACGCCTACATGTGAAAATGTATAGACAAAGGGGTTTACTGCGTGTCTCACTGCGTTACACCGAAGCTTCCATTACGGGATTCTCCATTTCTTCCTTCCCACCACCCACCTTCTTCTCTTAAATTTTGTTCTGTTTTTTGGGGGGGGGAGGTGGGGAGGCAGGTGAGATCGGAAGACATGATGTGGAGACATGATGTGAAAGACACAAAGAATAAATAAAATGAAAATTAAAAAATAAGTGAAGTAAGCAAAGTTTTAAAAAATATCTCCATTAATGTTTAATACGTGATGAAGGGCCCACCCGGATCTTGACAGCCCAGCAAGGCAATGCACACCTCCCTCTATCTCCTGACAGCAGAAAGGGGGAAGAGAAAGAAGTGACAGGAGGGCCAGGAGCAGCGGCAGGCGGTCAGCTTAATGGACAGGTCTTTGGATCTGTGCCAGGTGCCTCCTGGCCCATGCTGAGCGTCATCTCCTGAACCGTCTGAGCCTGCAGTGAGGCTGGTGCCATTTCCTGTTTAGGGAAAGTGAAACTGAGAGAGGGTAACAGATTTGTCCCAGGTCACACATCAGGCAGGCCTGATTCCCCAGCAAGGTTCTTACCCTCTGGCCTCTATTGCCTGGCACGTTGTTTGAGAAGCAAAGGAGCGTCCTGGGAAGGCAGGTTTTGGTCCATCTCCCTCACTATGTACGGGATGAGGATCTGGAAGGCGGAATCTCTGCTGCTTTCGTCTCAGTACTCCTACAGCTTTGGCCACACTAGGTACTTGAGGGTCTTATTGAATGAGTTCACAGGACTGTGAGCAGAGAGACCAGCCCAGGGGCGGGAAACAATCACGGTCAGGGAACACGTGACATCTGAGGAAGAGGATGGCGGCACTGTTGTGCAGGACTCTGCAGTTTTTAAGTGGCCACTGAGGCTCTGCCCAGCAGCCATTTGTTCTAGCCCACAGCCTCCAGGCACACATTCTGTGCTGTGGGAACACCAGCTCAAGATGGCGTCTTTCTGAGGCCCCCACCTGCAGCAGCCCTGACTCTGTAAGCTGCTCCCTGGTGGGACCTGGGCCCACCGTTCCCTTGGTAGTCCGCTGTGTGGATTTGGAGCCTACTGGAGCCTTCACTCAGCATCTTTTCCTATCCACTTTCCTGTGACTCTCAGACTGTATGTGATAAGTGACACATGTTTGTTTGTTTGTTGTTTGTTTTTTAAATTATCTGCAGAGCTGGGGATGTGACTCAGTGGAATGCTAGTCTAGCTTACCCGAGGCCCTAGGTTCGATCCCTAGCACCACACAAACGAGGCCTGGTGGTGCACAATCTGCAATCCCACCACTCAGGAACTGAGCAGGAGGATCAAAAGTTCAAGATTATCCTTAGTTACATAGAGTTCAAGGCTAGCCTGGAACACGTGAGACCCTGTCTCAAAAGCATACACCACACCAAAAACATCACACACACACACAGGCTCTGTCCCTGCAGAGGGAAGAGCCAGTTGGTGACATTTGTATGGCTGTCCCAGGGATGGTGAGTTAACGCAGGTTGTTCAAGATTCACAGGCCTGGCCCAGAGAAGCCAGTGAAAACAGGACCTGACACATAACACCACCAACCATGATCCATAAACAGGTGAACAACCAAGTATCTTGTCTTAGTTAGGGTTTTATTGCTGTGAAGAGATGCCATGAACAGGGCAACTCTTATAAAGGAGAACATTTAATTGGGACTGGCTTACAGGTTCAGAGGGTCAGTCCGTTATCATCACGGTGGGAAGCATGGCAGGACACAAGCAGACATGGAGCTGGAGAGGCAGCTGAGAGTTCTACACCTGGATCAGCAGAGAGCAGAAAGAAAGAGAGAGAGGACACAGGGACTAACGTGAACTCTTGAAACTTCAGAGCCACACCCAATGACATGCTCTTCCCAACAAGGCCCACCTCCTAATAGTGCCACTTCCCTGTATGTCTTCGGGAGTCATTTTCATTCAAACCAACCCATTTGGCTCAACCCAATCTTCTCTCTTAATGTATCTGAGCAACTGGACAGCGGAGCCCTGGGGAAGCAGGATTGAGAAATAAACAGACGTTTTAGACATCAGACACTCTGGAACAGGCAGAAACCACGTGAGTCAGGAGGAAGGAAGAGATAGCCCACTAGGGAGGGGAAGACTGAAAATGGCGGGTCCTAGCTGGCCAGCTGACAGGAGGGAACAGAGCTGCTGTGAGGCCCCCAGCTTCTGGGACTCAACGTTGAAAGAACAGCTGTCGCCACTGTTCCCAGGACCCATTGAATTCCCTATGGGGCCTGAGGTCATAGAATGAGTCTCTTCCCGGGAGCGCAGATTTGGGGAGGAGGAGGGGCATGGCGGGGGAGGGGCAGGGCGTGGGTTAAAAAGGCCTTTCCGGTTCCCTTGGAAGCAGACCACAAGCTACAATCACCTGCAAAAGTTTCCTTGGAAAGAGAGCCCCGAGAAATCTTTGCAGCAAACTGAGCCGGTCCCCTGCTGTCCACAGAGACTGCCTGGAGCTCCTTCCCGCCCCTGGACAGACAGACTGTCCCAACAGAACGCTCCCTGCAAGTCTGGACCGTTGCTTGGCACCTGGTGAAGGAAGTGCTCGGTTTGGGACAGGAGAGGATGGCTACCGAGTCTTTCCAGCTGTGCGTGAGAGTGGCGGGAGCGGTCCTTAGAGGTGCCCTGCCTGAGAAACAGGACAGTCGTCAAGATCCATGACTGCAATTGGGCCCGATGGATCTGAAGGGACTGCTGAGCTGGTCTGGGTCCAAGAGTTCCTTCGACCCACTGAGTCCACTTTGGAAGGACCGATTGCAGCCAGGATAGAGAGGGGCACTCTCTAGTGCAGCGTCCCAAAGAAGCTGGTTTGACTTTTAGTTTGTCTGAAGTGTGGGAGGAAGGTTAAGCAGATGAGACTGGAGAGTTAGTGTCATGAACCACGTGTGCCACCATGTCTGGCTAGGATGTCTTCAGGGCAGATGTCAGAAGACTAACAGACAGTAAGGATATTTCTTTGCAACTGCAAGTAGAGGCTCACTAGCCCCCCCCCCCCCGCCCCCCAGCTTGTCCTCTAAATGGTTTCCTGTGGCATCTTCTTCCTTCCATCTCTCTGCTCTCTCATCCACAGCTTGGCTTTCCTCCTGGTTCAAGATGGCTCTGGGTGGTCCCATCCAAATACTGCAACAACCATCAGAAAACATACCCAGCAGGCCAGCGAGATGGCTGAGAGAGGAAAGGTGCTTGCCAGCAAGCCCAAGGACCAGAGTTCAGTTCCTGGAATCCACACTGTAGAAGGAGAGAGCCATTCCCCCTACCTCGTCCTCTGACTTCTAGACTTACACTGTGGCACATGTGAGTCTCGTCCCCTAACCAACACACAATAAACAAACAAACAAATATATAAAATCTCCTTTAGAAAGAAAGAAGGGAAACAAACCTAGGAGCTGGGGAGGTGGCTCGGTGGATAAGAGTGAGCAGTTGCTACACAAACATGAGGCCTGAGTTGATTCCCCAGTACCCTCACAGGCCCATGATCCCACCACTGTGTAGGGAGGAGACAGGAGGTCCCTGGGACTTGCTGGCCACCAGGTTCAGTGAGAGGCCCTGTCTCAGGGGAATGAGGTGAGGAGTGGTTGGGCAAGATCCCCATTGTCTTCCTATAGCCTCCATGGGCATGGCCCATGTGTACTCTCTCCCCAGACCACATGAGAAGCAAGAAAAGAAAGAGAAAATCATACTGGAGGAGGGCAGGTCTTTCCTCTGGGGCATGTTGAGAAACAGGAAATTCTTTTGGAGGTTTCATGAATTAGTCACATGGTCACAGGGGACAGCAGAGGAGGCTGGGAAGTGTAGTAATGGCCCTAGATGCCATGGATCCTGCTGAAATGCATGCTATCGCTATGAGAAATGATGAGAACAAACACAGAAGGGCAACCCCCAGGCTGTGCCCCAGAATCCTCGCACTCTAGTTCCTGTTTACTGTGACTCACAGCTGCTGATAAGCGCTTACCTTTACAAGGAGGTTGTAAGATCTCTGCTTTAAAGTTTCAGTTTGTGGATTTTTAGCTGATGTAGTTAAGAGCACTTTTTTTTTGAAGACTGTCTTGCTATGTAGTCCAGCTGGTGTCAATCTTCGAACTTCTGCTCCTTCTGCCTCAGCCTCTGGAGTGTGGGGTTACAGGGTTTCAGAGCAGGAACTGTCTTTGTTTTGTTTTGATATTTTCCACTTACAGATAGGATTTCATGTAGCCCAGACTGACCTAGAACTTCCTGTCCTTCTGACTCCACCTCCTAAGCGCTAGGATTATGGGTGTATACTACCATATCCATCAATCTCTCTCCCTTTTTCCTCTTTTATTATCTACCTATCTGTCTGTATGTCACCTGTCTGTCTGTCTGTCTGTCCATCCATCTATCGATCCATCCATTTATCTCCTCACTCTGTAGCCTGAGATAGCCCAATACTCTGCAAACCTTCTGCTCAGTCTTCCAGGTGTTGAGATTCCAGATGTGAGCTCCTTCACCCAGCCCTCATGTCTGTCATACAGGCCCTCAACCGCTGGCCAGTAGGTGGAGTGGACTGAAGGAGAAAGGATGAGCCCTATCTCAGAAGTCCAGCAGAGTAGGTCTGGGTCAGTACGCAGCCTTCCCTAGAGAATGTTCTCTCTGAGCTGCACTTTAGAGACCACTGCTGTGAGTTCTGCACCCGGCATCAGTTAAAGGAAAGCTTTGGTCTGGCTAAGATGCAGAGCCAAGAGAGCGCTAATGAGTCTGGCGTAAGCGGGTACCAATAAAGTGGTACTCTATGAATCAAGGCCATGAGAACTGCATTGCAAGCTCCACACAATTAGAGGCTAACTCATGAGCTCCAGCTCTTTGACTTTGAACCGATTTATGGACACCAAGTTCCCACTGACATTGTCTGGTGACGTCATGGTGTGAATCCTGACAGCCATTAAATTTCTCACCAGAAGTCTAACAGGGCCGAAGAAACTCAGAAGGGAGTGGGATACAAAACCACAGAGCCCTCAAAGCCATTGGGCACGAAGTTTCAAAAGTGAGCATGTCAGATACAAGACCCCCCCTTCCCTGTCTGCTAGCGGCACTGGCAGTGAGATGAAGCCGGCTGGAGCATTTTCTCAGTGGCAGCCAGAGCTTTAATAAGTAGTTCCACGTGATGTAGCTTGTTCTGCCCTTCCATGCAGAACAGACATACAAAGTAGCATCTGTCTTCATCTCTACTTTACAGGTGGGAAAACTGAGGCACGGGCACGCTGTGTTCGCTGCCTAGGACCTATAGCCTGAAGCGACTGTGCTGGAATTTGAACCCAGGTCTTCCATACTAAAGCTTTTATTGCTCTGCGCATTGCTTCACGTTTGTTGTTTCCAGATTCCCTGTCTCCTGTCTGGTGATATCTTTCATGATCTGGAGCAAAAAATAAGACATAGGAAGAGAAATTTCCTAAGGTTCCGTTTACTGTGGAGTCTTGTCTCACATGGCAGGGACATTTCCAAGGACAGCCCTTGGAAAAAGAAAGCCGTATTAAGTTCAAATTGCCTCACTCTGGGGACAGAGCGGTCTGCGCCAGTCACTCACAAATTAGAGCATTCCATGACGGATCAGTTTCACTTCTAACTTCCAGGAGCACACAATGGGATGCAGCGGGATGCAGGCTGCAGTGTCGGAGGGTGACTAGGATGGATAAATGGGTGCAGAGAAGGAAGGACAGGAGACGGAAGACAAAACGAGCAGAATGAGATACGACGCTGAGCTCCCGGTGGCTCATACACAGGACTGACAGTGTGGCTCTCTCAGTTTCTCTGCACGTTTGGGAGATGTTTTTTTTTAATGTAATGCTGATAGAGAAATAATACACTTAAGATGCTCTTTGGAAGCTGCCGGCACTCATTCTCCCGTTGGCTATAGCAGTCAAATTCTCTTGTGTCAAAACCAAATTCTCACTTTTGGGCATCTGGCGATCCCAAGGGACCAAGCGGTGTGAGTAGTTTGCAGCTGCTCTGGAAGTGGTGGAACTTTAAGAGGCGGGCCTAGCGGGAGGTCACCAGGTTCACTGAGGGTGCATTACCGCCTCCTCTCTGGAAAGGGCCTTGTAATTTATCTTAAGCACAAACACATGGCAGAGAGAAGGGAGGAGAATGGGGGAAAGAAGGTGTGTGTGTGTGTGTGTGTGTGTGTGTGTGTGTGTGTGTGTGTAAGAGAGAGAATGAGGAGGGAGGGAGCTAGGGAGGGAGAGAGAGAAATGATCACAGGAAGCCCTTGTTAGAATCCACTGAGCGATGAACCCTCACAGTGAGAATGACCAGCACTGGAGTCTTCTGACTCCCTCGCCTGTCACCTCCTGTCATCTACCGTGTGTTGTCTGGTGGCAGAGCCTGTAAGAGGCGGGGTCTTGACTTAGTTCCCCTTTCTGTTGCTATGGTAAGAGACTGGGACAGAAGCAACTTAACTAAGGGTTTATTAGGACTGAGGTTCAGTCCTCATGGGGGAAGTCAGTGCCTTCCCTGAGGGAGCAGAGTCTGAAGGTCACAGGACATCCTCCCGGGGGACCACAGTCCTTGGCATGGTGTCACCTAAGGATAATGTGGGTCTTCCTACCCAGTCTAGAAACTCCTCCCAGACACACCCGTGGGCCAACCTGTAGCACAAATAATAAAAACCCAGAGACAGTTATTGGGGTTCAAGCTGAAGATCGGAAAAGCAAAGCAACCAAGGCACTAGAGAGATCTTACCTCTACCAAGGCTCAGACAAACAAAAGGGGTGATCCTTCAATGCTCCCCACCAACCTCAGACTCCACACTCCACTGAGTTCCTCTCTTCCCTTTCTGTTCCTCTCTGGGCCCAGCCATATCACTCCTGTCTCCACCTCCCTAGTGCTGGGATTAAACGTGTGTGATCCCAAGTGCTGGGATCACCTTTGTATGAACTCCCTTTCTCTTTTAGACAGATTCAGTCTTGTGTAGTCCAGGGTGAAGTTGAACTCACAGATCTGTCTCCCGAGTCCTGGGATTAAAGGAGTGTGTCACCACTGCCTGGCCTGTATGGCTGACAAGTATGACTGCTTTGCCCTCTGATCATCAGGCAAACTTCATTTATTAAATCACAAATAATATACCACTATAACAACCTAACCTAGACAGACCCCTCACTGGCTTCTCTTCTAGGTGATTCCAGTCTGCCAAGTAAACCATCAATATTAACTATCAAGGCCCGGCAGAGCAACTTAAGGCTATAAAATGGCCTGAATCCCAGCATTCCTTCCTCCTACCCCACCATCCCTCCCTCTCTCCTCCTTCATGGCCACAAAGTAAGCAGTTCTGACCTGCCACAAGCTCACACTGTGATGTATGGCCACAGGCCTGGAACAGCTGGAAAGTGAGTCAAGAGAAACATTGTCTAAGTTGATTGTCTCTGGTCTTGGTTACTGCAAAGGGAAGCGGGCTCACAGGTGACTAATAATGGTTCCAGTTTCCTTCATCGTGTCCCTGGAAACAACTTCCCTCCAAGAAACGGTGATAAGTTCAAACCTGGGGAAAACTCAGCCAGCAACATGGGTTCCTGAGGGACCCCACAACTGTGATTTCTAGGTGTGTTGGATAGTTATATGTCGACTTGACACACGCTAAAATCATCTGGTGGAGGGAACCACAATTAAGAAAACGCCTCCATAAGAATGGGCCACAGGCCCAGCGGTGGTGATGCACGCCTTTAATCCCAGCACTCAGGAGGCAGAGACAGGTGATTCTCTGTGAGTTTGAGGCCAGCCTGGTCTACAGAATGAGTTCCAGGACAGCCAAGGCTACATAGAAAAAAACCCTGTCTCAAAAAAACAAAACAAGACAAAATCAAACAAGCAAAAAGATTGGGCTATAGGCAAGCCTGCAGGGCATTTTTTTAAGTGATTGATGGGGGAGGGCCCAGTCCATTGTGGGTGGTGCCATCACTGAGCTGATGGTCCTGGGATCCATAAGAAAGCAGGTTGACCAAGTCATGAGGAGCAAGTCAATAAACAGCACCTCTCCTCCATGGCTATTGCATCAGCTCCTGCCTCCAGGTCCCAGGCCTGCTTGAATTCCCATCCTGACTTCCTTTGATGATGAACTATGATGCAGAAGCATACGCCCAATAAATCCTCCTCTCCAACTTGCTCTTTGGCCATAATGTTTTATCACAGCAATAAAAAACCCTAACTATAACATAGGGAATTATTTCAAGGCACCTGACGAGCTTTGAGCCTCTGTCCACCCTGTCCCCAGTGACCTAGGCTAAATGCACACACTCGCTTGCTCCCACACACGTGCTTTTCCTGGAATGTTTGAATCTGTTGAAATTCCAAGCATTTTCACTGGAGCAACTGTCTTACCCTGTCACAGACAAACACTGTTTCTTCATTCTCCAGTACCAACCTCTCTCACGATTGCTCCTGAAGTCCTTGCCCCTTCTCTATGCCCTCCCAGGGTCTGATTGTACTGTAGGGTTAGTGGGAATCAGATGCCCACTACTGACAGTCACGATGTCGAGCTTGCTCAGGGCCACTTAAGGTTCCCGGAGCCTAAGTACCTTGTCTGTCACTCCCAGCTCCAGCCATTAGCTTGAAAAATGCCAAGCTGCTTTGTGCACCTTACTCTTGAACACAGAAGCCCTGCAGGTTCCCTCCTTTGTGGAGGGTTAACTGTGAGGAAGAA